TTATTACATAGAACTGGAATTATTGTTAACTACATTAAAATCCAATGTCCCTTCTGTTGAGGAGACAGTCCCTCAGATGTGATTCTATGCATCAAATGAGAATGTGTGAATCATTAGATGGGGCTTTCTGTGCAAGTCAACCTACTTACGAAAGAGCACAGAACTCATGAGAGAACAGCCACAAGGACCGCTCTGTAATCACAGTGCTCTGGGTGGTACGGGATCACAAATGCCACCTACTTTCCTTCAGGTTCTGACAGTCAAGTCTTTGTCATAATTGTGGGATAACCTTTGCTGTATGTCCATCATTATGACAGCTTTATTTCTCCATGTTAGGCTGGGTCCCAAATTGTGCAAGAAAAGATTGTCCCATACCCAGTGAATAATGAAAGATAAATGAAAAGCATCTAAATCGTGAGCTTTTGGGGCTCAAATTCCATCAATATACTTTATGTCAGCACCAGTACATGAAGCTCTTGTCTACAGCAGTCCCAACAGGTAGACTTTTTCTCATTCCAGGAGATGCCAAGGGAAGAGACATCACCACCAACCTTGCTGCCCAGACCAGTGTTTAACAACTCAAACTGACATGTCTTTAGCACACATTGACTCTTCACTTATCTGGCACCTTGGGAGGAGGTGAGTCTGAGTTCCCTAAGTTATTCAAGCTAAACCCTTCAAGCCTATTGCCTCTAAATGTGCCTCTCGTGACCTAGCAAGAGACTAGATGACGTTAACACACCTTGTTTAAGTGGGAAGCTTAAAATAGCTTAGAAATATGTCCAAAAATTATTATTTTAGTTTCACAGGATGAAGTTTATTGCACCACTGACTTTTGCCTATACCCGCAATCACAGGAATGCTACTGTACTTCCACGCTGCTCTTGCAAATCGCCGGACCAGTAGGAAACATGGAGGGTCCCAAACTAGTCTGTGTATTGCAGATAAGAATCTGTCATCACTTCCTCCAATGGCTGCTTTTATCCAATCAAGAAAATTGTGCAAAGAGGAAAGGAATGAGTGAAAGAAACAGAAGTAACAAACTCACTCAGGACCAAAGCAGAGAAGGCTGAGAGACAGGAGCAGTAGTGCTTGGATTTACTGCAGGGACTTGGGGGTCAGGAATATAGAACAGATGTTTGGTATTGTCACCTAACAATCCCATCCCTCTGGGCAAGCCACATCCCCTCTCTGTGCCTGGTTTTCATAACAGTTAAATTGTAGAAAGCACAGACAGGATTGTACTTCAGCGAGACAAAGGAGGTAGTGAGACAGCAAGTGAATTAGAGTGCGGCAGATCTGCAGTCAGGGTCACTTATGAGGTGGTGAGCACTGAAGTCCAGAGAAGTGAGAAGATTCTTTGCCCTGCTCACTAATGCATACATTCTTTTGTTTTTGGGAGGAGGGGGCTATGGGGCTTGTGCACTCACCAGACACACACACACACACACACACACACAGAGAGAGAGAGAGAGAGAGAGAGAGAGAGAGAAAGTGAGAAAGCACCTCCCCGGGGAATGGCCACATCACACTATCACATTCGCTTTTCCTCCAGTCTCTTCTTAGGATTCTGAGCACATAAACACACACACCTGGTGTGTTTTACAAGCTGCCAGGTCTAGGACTTAAATTGGTCAGATGGCTACTTGGGATCCAGACACCTTAACCACCATGTCACTAGCTAGCCTGCATTCATTTTTTTTTTCATTTATTCAACACACACTTTCAAACCCATCAAAGGAGTATTCCAGGTGCTCGTATTGGAAAGACACTGCTGAACAGGGTAGACATCATCTTGCAAAAAAGCAGTGAAAGGAAATGAAAAAAATATACATAAATAATTCACTTACTTATGCCTGTCATAGGGAGTGTGTGTGTGTACCTATGTGTATACATTTATATATATACACCTATATAGATGGGAGTACACGTACACACCTGTGCACTCACACACACATCGGTATCATAGTGTGGGGAGCACAAGTCCTAAGCAGTAGGGCAGGGAGCGAACAGAACTGAGCAATTAATATCTTTATTCAGAAGAGAGAAATAAAATTCAAGATTTAGCAGTTAATAGTTAATAAAGAATTGACTAGTGACAAGAAGACAAATTGATCTTGCTATTTATATTCCTTTATCTCTTGTTCCAAATTGTATATCGATTTGTTTATAATTACTAATGAGAGTGTGATAACATTATAAGACAATAGCTGTATTTCTTCCTCATGAAAGGTTAATTTTGTGACTTTTCTTTACAGCCATAAAGAGGCTCTGATGTTCAGTCTGTGCTGAATCCCTGACTTGTGGCTACAGTCCTAGGAAGGAAAGACCTCAGCCAGCCACGTCTTCCACCTTTAACTCCAGAAAGCGGTTACAGGTTTATAATATTTACTTGCTCAGATTCTGGGACAGTCAGATTATTTCCATGATTATGGGCTAACCCTCCGTTATAATTCTATGAAATTCTATATTATATAATATAGTCTATATTTGATATATTATATAGAATAGTCTATATGACTATAATTCGATATTAATTCTACTTGATAATGAACTAAGGATGCTCTAGATAAATAAGAATACGGTTCAGTAATATAGGTTATCTTTGCGTTTACAGGTGTGTTAAAAATAGGTGAGTGGACAACAAACCTAGCTACTGTCCAGGATCTTCACAAAGACTGATTAACCCTCTAAATGAAAGGTAAACCTAAGGGCCAGCCTGTGGCATAGTGGTTAAGTACTGTGTGTAGAAGGGCAGGATTCCACATGGCTGGCTGTGCTTTGAATCCCAGTCTTTGTACCTTGAAAAACTCACCAAACATAGTGTGTACCCATAATCCTGACAAGATAAAGAAACAGAGGAAAAAGAATAGTTCCATGACCATGTCCCATTGGGGGGGGCACTTTCTCTCACTCTCCACCTCTGGCAAGCAGATGAGCACACTAGCGATTACATTTAAAAAATAATAAATAAATAAATAAGTAAATAGGCCAGTAGCAGGCGTAGAGGCTAAGGCAGATGGATCCCAACTTTATTGTTCTAGTCAGGGACCCTGTGGCTTGAAAAACACACTGGGCACATGTGTGTGCATGTCCAAAATCCTGACAGGAGAATGGAGAAGGGATTGTGGGGTGCCATCCTCCCTGGGGAATGCTTTTTCACTTTCTGTGTGTGTGTATGTGTGTGTGTCTATTTCTGGAGAGTGTGTGTGCCATAGAGCAACAATATAAAATAAATAAATAAATAAATGAAAATAAAACTAAACAATGGATTTTCCTCCATAGTCATACTATCAAAGAAGCATATTTACCTAAGAAGTTGTTTTCAGCTTTCTGGGTTTGCAATGAACATAAAATATTTCTAGTCTATACTGGCTTACCATGAAACACCTGCTGTAACTTATATTGTACACAATGTATTAATTGTGAAGGATAGCTACCATTAAGAAGGAAGACCATAATTATTTGATAGTATACTAAAAATATGTAGTTCTCTACCCGTCAAAGAAGAAAATATGAACTTTTCAAGATCAGGCAGGATCTTGAAAGCTCCAAATGTGTGGATTTGTAACAAGTCAGGAGAGTTGGCTTTTCCTTGATAACAGAACTGGCATATGTTACAAGAGATAAATTGATACAGATCTGTACAAATATTTTTTAAAGGCAGCTGTCTTGCCCCTCTTGGATACCCTGGAAGAATTTATTAGTGTTCGTTCAGAGTGATGACCATGGCTAAGTACCAGTTTGGAAGACTAACTGGCTTGCTTAATGGATTTGTTTATAGTGGTGCTAATGATGGAATCTATATAGTTGGTCACTAATTATTTCATTGGGGGTATTAGTTTAAGCCAATAACCCTAAAGTGACCACAGTTTTATAATAGAGAGGTGGCTCACAATCCCTTTACAGCTAAGGAATAAATAACCAATAATGAAAGGTAGCCCAAAGTTTTTTTGTGCTGCTTACATGTACCCTATATAACCGGATTGCTTTAACAATTCTGTTCTGTATTCTGCAAGCAAAACTAAAACAATCTGCTCCACAGGACAAAACAAAACAAGAAACAACAAAAAATAGAAATCTGTCATGATTGAACTCAGCCTCTCATTAAACGTTTTGCTTGTATACAAATCTGGGGAAGGATTCTGTCTGGGTAGAAATTTTACAGACTATCATCCCTGCTGACAAAACAGGAACACGTATCTACCGGACAAATACAACGCTGTGTGGATGATTAGTAGTAGGGCTTGCCCTAGAGTCATATTTCTGGTGCTCCATTACCGAACTGTCACAGCAGATTAAAAGAAGAACAACAGAAAAAGGAATGAAGAATGACAGAATCAAGCATACATCAATGCATTAATTGTACCTATTAATATTTTGTGGCGTAATGTGGCATTGTTTCAAAATTCATTTTGCAAGTTGAACAAGAAGTGATTGCTTAGGAAAAGAAAGCTAAACAGTGGACATCTTTTGTGCTGAGAGTGGCAAATTCATTTTACCTTCCAGATATCTTTTAATAGTTACCCTTTACATTTTTCTAAATTGATACAGGAACTAACAGGAAACATAAATGTGAAGACAGAACTCTTCACAGTAAGAGCCAAAAAGCTAGATTGCAATGCTTGGCAGTAGTTTCATTGCTAAGGTTAAATATGGCAATTCTTATTTTATCTTGATGACAGTAATCTGGAAAATCAGTGACATGAGTTTCTGTAAAAAAAAAAAATCAGTGGACACATGTGCACACATACACACACTCTGTGCACAGAAATGTCACGTGCATAAACGTGTGCATGCACACATCACGGTTCTCTGTAAACATTTAAGAAGAACGACGTGTAAGACAACGTAGACTTCATTTTGTATTAGGAAGCTGAGTAAAAAGGCCCTTTAACAAGTCATGAGCAGACTGGAAGCAAATGTTAATAATGCCTTGTGGGAAGGGGTTGCTAAATATAAGGCGTGTTTCCCCAGTCACACTGTATTTCATGTAATACAAGTTTTGCAGAGTCAAACAAGGCATTCTCTTGACAATCTAACAAATCAAAACCATCTTTTCTTTCTTGAAGAACACATGACTCAGCACAGTCAGTGGCACTGTCTACTTTCACCTCTGTGTCCTTATAACCCCCATCCAAGTTTTTGATGACATAAATGAGCTTCACATGATAGGAACACATAGCCTCTTCTGTAATGTAATGGCCTGGGAGGTGCAACATAAATCTGTGTCTTGATCACTAAACTATGGTTTTAACAAGGAAAGTTGCAACAGAGGGAAGAGCAGTCACATGAGGAGCAGAGACGCCAGGTTATTTTATTTCCATGTCAGTGTGGGCAGAGTTTCAATGAGGATAAGGAACTGGGTGGAGGGGATGTGAAAGAAAGTGGGAAGCTAGGGTATATGACTTTGGATTTGACCATTAAACCCATCTGACATTTCGGCCTTCAGGTGTCACTAATTTGGCAATTAGCATATACTGGCTGTGACAGGCTACAGCAAACAAATGCTAATCCAGTGCTACTATGAAGATATTTTGTAGAAGTGTTTAACATCTATACTCAGTTGACATTTTTCCTCCATTTTTCTGGTTCACAATGTTAGTATATATCAGTTATATTCTTTCAACAAACATGACATTTGTTAACTTCAGGTAAAATTTCAAACTGTCATAGATATATAGTACATAATATTTCACATAAATGCAAGCATTCACACTCTATTGGGGATTTTTAAAAGACCCTTCATGAGTGTGCTACGTTATTATGACTCGATATAAACATGTTTTGTAAGATTGGTGACAGTTCAAACACTATAAAATATGCACTTAATAAAAATATAAACGCACATCAGTTATTTATATAAAACTGAATTGTGCTAAAATTATTTTTGCAATTTCAATTTCCGATATGATACTGAGAATGACAGAGTCTTCCTGAATAACACTACTCGATTCTTCCTTCTATTTGGGCAAGAATGTAGGGCAGGAAATGAGAGGTTAAGTGACTTGTCCACGGTCTGGGAACACAGAGGCAGCAATAAATCTAAAAATCAGTTCTAAGGCCACGCTCTCTCCACATGAACACACTAACGGACCTGACATTAAAACCCCAGACAAATAAAACAAAGTACCCTGATTAACATATTTGCCTTATAAAGTTCTTTCCCTCATTACAGAGTGAAAAGAGGTTTATTTGAGAAAATAAGAAAACTGAGAAAAATTAAAGCCTGATAGAAATTGTTAATATTTAAATACTTAATTCACATATTCTCTTTGTGTAATATAAACAATATGTATTTTACATATTACCTTTATTTATAAGGAAAACATATTGTGCTAAATTGTATAATAGTTTAAATGTTCTGGAAGAAAAACATTTAAACATTTTTTATTATTAAGATTAAACTCTGAATCCATATAGTACCAATTTTCTCTAACCCTCTTCCCTAAGTCTTAAATGACATCTTCTACATTGTCAAAGTCCAAATTGAAAGGATGAGGACGGTTTGGGCTGGAGCGAGAGCCCTCTCTCTTGCCCCATCAGAGAGGCAGTCAAACCCTCTAGCCCGCGGAAGTCTCACCAGCCCATGTCTCTGCATCATGGCTCTGCCCTCAGTGTCACACTTATTCATTTTTCCCTTCTTCGTTTCTTTCAGTCCCTTGTAATACCTCTGGTGGTATAAAATTCTCAACACCTTGTCAATCTCCCCTGCAATTCACAGGGGTCCAAGCCACCAACAGGAGGGTCCTCCATGCTCTTTCTGGACAGCTGCGTCTTAGTTCTTGGGTTCTTCAGAGATGGTGGATTGGACCCATGTGCCATGCATAGAATGTCTTTAGCAAAGGTTATTCAGTCTCACCTTGCTGTTCTCTTCAGAGCAATCAGTTCACTCTAAGTAAAAGAGATTATTTTTAATAATGTGAGTGGGTCTCATCCAATCAGCTGCAATGCCTTAAAAACAAAATTGAGGTTTCCTGGAGAAAGATGAAATTCTGCCCAATTCTGCAGTGCCGGCTGCTGCCTAAGAACTCCCTGCTGACTGGCCTGCCCTGTTGATTTTGGACCTGCCAGTCCCACCAGCTCCATCACTTGAGTCAATTCTGTTAAATACACTTCTTCAGATATCTATTCTCTATCCTGCTGGTTCTGTATCTCTGGAGAACCCTTTTTATTTGAACAGTTATGCTCATGTGTGACTATCTTACTTTCACAGCTCAATTATGCTCTTGATTTCTAGTACCCTCCACAGAACCTAGTACAAGGATATTTTATGGTGACTTAATCACAAGTTCAGATTTAGGGTCAAGTGTCTCTCCATGCTGCTCCCAGAGTGAACGATAAAAAGTGCAGCTCACAGCACTTGTGACATTCTTTACTGTTATTATTATATTTTTTTCCTGAACTGATACTTTCTTTTGATGGCAGCTACCATATCCTACTCACCTTATGTCTCTAGCCTCTCTTGCAGTGCCTGCTTTGTCATCAGGACCCAGTCAAAATTGGAAAAATAAATTGACTGGTAGTGTGTAACTTCTTAGACCTTTCACAACTTTTCATTTTCTTAGACTTTACTTTGGGAGATGTTTTAAATCCTAATTAAAATTTAGTTGATAAAGCAGTCAAGTAGGAAATAGAGATGGGGGTTGAGGAGTTAGACATTGGGAGGATGGCATAGAATAATAAGTAATGATAATTTGATAGAAGAGTGATGAAACCTAAATCAAAACATTTTTTAATAATACTGGAAAAGATTGGTAGTAATTATTAAAAAGGATTAATTTATAAGGTGTTAGGAAAAAGACCAAATTCTATTACTTTCAAGGGATAATTACTCGTCACCTATAAGATGAGGTTGATTCACAGATCTCTACTTTTGGCCCAAACTTTTATCCTATATAACTAGCTTTTTAATTTTTTTTAAAGGTGTTTGCTATAGGGTATATGTGCTTGCAAGAGAGAGACAGAGACAGATAGAGGGAAAGTGAGAAGTCATTCCCCCCAGCTGGGAGGGTCATGCTGCAAGCCCTTCTCCTCCTCCTTCCCCTCCTTCCCCCTTCTGTACTTTGGGTACACACATATACACACACACCTGGTGTGATTTCTAAGCCTTCTGGTCCAGGGTTTGAATTAAGGTCAGTCATATGGGAGTCAGGTGCCTTAACTACCATGCCACCTGCTGGCCCATTAGGTAGCTTTTCTTTTTTAAATTGCTGTATGTATGTGTGCTTGTTGGAGAGAGAGAGGGCCACCCTTGTGGAGGATGGCCACATTGCAATCCCATGTCATCCACTCTCCTCTCAAGATTTTGGGCAAGCACACACATGTGCCCAGGGAGATTGTCAAGCCACCTGCCTGAGACTGGAACCGTGCAGTCTGTCATGTGAGATTCAGCCACCTTAACCAGGATGCTACTGGCTAGTTCTACAGCTAGGTTTCTAATGGACAGATTCACTCTAACTCAATCATGAAAAGTACACACCGTCAGTTTTATGCTTTGTGAAACATAACAGGGTTCCTCTATGATAGTGTAAGTTGTAATTAAAAATGAAGATAGACATTTTTGAATGAAGGGGAGATAGCGAGCTCTTTGTTATAACTCAATGGATTCTACAATGTCTGTACAATGTTCTCGTACAAGTGTGTGTGTGTGTGTGTGTGTGTGTGTGTGTACACAGGGAGAGAGAGGCACAGGCTCTGTCTTGTCAGCACTTCATGTCAAACCACATCCATTGGGTGGCCCAGTGAATTTTTAAAATATAAACTTGGGGGCCAGCAGGTGGTATAGTGGTTAAGGTGCTGAACTCCCATATGGTCGGCTGCAGTTCCAGTTCTGAACCTGGTGAATGAGTGTGTGTGTGTGCCCAAAATCCCAAGAGAAGAGTGGAGGAGAAGGGGCTGCAGCATGGTTGTTCC